AAAACAGACACACAGAACAGAGGACCCAGAAATAAAACCACATGATGGGCAAATAATTTATGATAAAGGAGCCAAGAACATACAATAAAGGAAGTTCTCCTCAATGAATGGTACCAGGAAAACTGGACAGCTACCTGCAAAGAATGAAACTCCACCACTATCTTACAAGAGGTAAAAAAAAATTACTTAAACAAAAGGCAGCCTACTGAATAGGAGAAGATATTTGCAAACTACAAATCAGACAAGAGGTTAATACCTACTATATATAAACAACTGACAAAATTCAAAACCATATATATATATGTATATATAAAACCTGATTAAAAAATGGGCAGTTCTAGACATCTCACCAAAGATAGAGGGTTGAAACACATGAAAACATGTTTATCTTGTCACTAGAGAAATGTAAATCAAAACCAGTAAGATTTCACCTCACACCATTTAGAATGGTTATTATCAAAAGGTCATGAAATAAATGTTGGTGAGGATGTAGAGAAAAATGAACCCTTGTGTGCTCTTGATGGCAATGTAAATTGGTGCAGCCACTGGAAAAGCATGGAATTACAAGAAAGTCAGAGGACTGCCATATGATCCAGTAATCCCACTTCTGGGTATTTACTCAAAGATGAAAATACTAACTCAAAAAGACATATGAGCCCCTAAATTCATCACAGCACTATTCACAATAACCAAGATATGGATGAATGAGTGGAATACCAGTCAGTCGTCAAGAAAGACATGACTTGTCATTACAACATGCATGGGCCATGAGAATTATGATAAATGAACTAAATGAGGAGAAAGACAAATACTACAGTTTCAATCATTTGTGGAATAAAAAATAACCACCAACTCTAACAGAATGCCAGAGGGGAATAGGTATAGGTGCAAGAGGTCGACTGGTTGATAATGGTGACTGGTGAGAAAACAATCTTGGAACTCATACAATATAAACTAATGTTACTCAATAATAAGAGAATGGGGTGGGGGGAGCCCTTAAGAATGAAAGTACCATTTTCATTCCCATTTTTGGTTATTTACCCAAAGAACACAAAATCACCAACTTGAAAAATTACATGCTTGTATTTTACTGCAACGTTGAGCATTGACAGAGGATTAAAGATAAACATAATGGAATACTATTCATCTCTAAGATGAAATGTTACCATTTGCAGCAAAATGAAAACTTGAGGATTATGCAAAATGGAGTCAGAAAGATAAATACAACTGGGGATTCCATGTGTGTAATATAAACAAAAAAAGTAGATTAACTGACCAAACAAAATGATTACAAACTAGCAGACAATGATAACCAAACCAATGCTCCTGAGTTGAGGAAGAAAAGGATCAAAGGGCTAGTGGTGGAAGGGGAAAAAAAGCATCCAATCAACTTGGATGCACACTCTTTAAAGAAATACTTTAAACAGCTGACAAAGTCACACATTTAGCTTTCTTCCCTATAGATCAGAAAATGTATGTAGACCTTGAGCTATCTGAGCAGAGGGAGGGAGGAAAGTGGGGACTGTGAACTATTGTTCACTGTGTGAACTATTATGGCAAATAAAATAATTCCACACATGAAGATATTCTTCTAATTTATTTTATTGCATTATGAAAATAATACATTTGGCAAAGTAATCTAGGCTCCAAGTTGAAATAAAATTCTGAAGTGTAATTTTTTTTTAATGTGAAATATTAGATGTATTCTAACCAATACATACTAGCATTCTTACTAGGCCAATAATCCAGAAAACCTAATTCCATATGCGATTACAAGGTGTTTTTGCATTCATCATTTTATGATTAGCACAAATCTCAAGAGAACTGAGCTTCATTTAACCAAAACCAACTTATTTAAGAAACTCCTGTTCAGAAGACAATTTGTAACACTAGCCAAAATTTTTATTTCCTTTGGTTCTACAAGTTGCATTTTCATCCTTACCACAAGTTACATTTCTTATAATCAAACATTGTAGCAGCTTTAGATTCTGCCCAAGTACCTTTAATAAGTAAACTAGTATATTACATTTACATTATTTGAAAAATTGCTGATTTCACAAATGCAAAAATGCATGCCTATCTACAGCGGCAAAACAAAATACTCTGAACCTCCATGCTTCAATAGGGCACACCTTCTGATAGGATTTCTGGGATGCCTTTCCAAATCAAAGGACTACAGCTCCCTGATGGGTTAACTCCACTACTCTGTCCACTTTTGAAAGGTATAGTTACAATAAACTTTAAATGGATTAAATAGCTCTAATAACACTTAAAATATGATCTCTTACACTACTGATTTCTGTTCTATATTTTCAGAACTTAAAAGATATATATTTAATGTATGAAGATCACTTGTTTCACTTTTTAAAAGGGTAAAGTGCTTACAACATATTCTCATGTTCATCAGCATTTCAAATTCTTTTTACATGTCAGGTTCAGAGTCTAGAATCTAAAAGGTAAACAAGCCACCCAAGGACAAAAAGAAAATAGTACTTTCAATAAACTGAGGTCTTGACTCTTCATATCTTTTGACATGACTTTGCTAATGCTTGTATAGGAAATGTCTAAAATTAGCCACTTAAAAATTCGTATCTGAATCAGATTCTGACATTTTCACTCAGCAAAGTCTGTGTAAGTGCACCTATGCATACTTGTGGAAATTTACTTCCAAATGGGCATCAATATCTCAAACGAACTGAACAAGATTTCCCACTTTAATTACATAAGTATATCCTAAAGATATTCCATGAGCATTCTACAATTATCTGTATAAACAGCAACAAGTTTGATCTATGATCAACATATGGATAGCTAATAAATATTAAAACTATTAAACTATAGATTAAAATGCAGATCTCTCATAGAGTTAAGTGATGGCATTTTGGTACATTCACCATCATTGTACTTTATTTAATAAAGAAATACATTTGCCTTTGCAAAAAGTAGCAACTGCAAATTACAAAAACAAACAAAAAACCTAAAAACAAAACCAAAAACCCAAAAACCACCACAGACCTCAACATTATGAAGTTAAATCTTCAATTTATAACCAACAAAAGTAAATCAATTTGTTTACAAATGGTCCATGGCACAATTAAAGTAAAAAATGTCAAAAGGTCACAGGCTCTTAAAGAATAGATTTATTGACAATTTCATAAATATTCTAAAGAAAACTTCAACATTTCTAAACTTAAGTGTTTAAAATCTGTTCTCATTGGCAAAATACCCCTCAACAAAATAAATCACTACAAATGAATGTCACATTTAAAATTTGCTTCATTTTAACACTTTTGAAAAATTAAAAAAAATTTACAATGTTTGATTTTTCACCCCTCTTGGGCACAGTAAATCAGTATTGTTTTTATTTCTACTGATAGACATATTAATAAATATATCATCTAGCTGCTGTGAACCTGACAGTCAAGTCAGTCAGTAGTATATTATCCTACAAACATCAACGGAGCCAAATCATTTTGGTATTCTGAGTCATAGCAATTTAAGTAGTCAAAATGCAAAACTTGTGGTTGCCACCCAAATCACCCCAAAGTATATGATAACAGTGTCAGAAAATGTTTGCATCAGTTTTATAAGTATCTGTGTTGTCCAGGTATTTGAAACTAAAAAAAAGGATTTTTTTGTATTTTGATAAAAATGTACTCGAATATTTCATAACATTAATATTTATTGCTTTATATGAATACTGTATTGAAAGCCCAAGCATTCAGTTTACACACAGAAATTATACAATTATATACCGCTTCACAAAGGCAGTGAACACATTACATTCTACAAAATCTACTTTACAGAAATTTAAAAATTCTAAATATCAAAAGGTACAGCTGAAGAAACAGGTATAAATTTGGCAGCCAGTAATTTTGACAGGGAAGTTGCAGCTTGCGTGACTTTAAATATGTGAATTTGAAAATATTGAGTTTAGAGTAATCATTGTGCTTTGTGTTGATCTGAAAAATATAACACTGGCTGTCGAAGAAGCATGTTCAAAAATATTTAATTCACTTCAAAATGTCATACAAATCATGGTGGTTTCTACGCACACCTAAAGCTTCAGTCATTTAACTCTGGTACATTACTAAAGTAATATATTAATCTTCCAGTTCAGTGGTGTTTTATACCATTGACATTTGCATACTCTAGAATAATTTAGAAGGAAATTTGCAATATTCACAATGTTCTGAAAAGCAAGCAAAAGATAAAGGAACCTGTCTGGTTCTTCTGAGATGGTCTCATGTCAGCTTTATAAGCATTCATTCTACAAAACAGTAAGCTAATGTTTGAACACATTTTCCAAGATAAAGAATGTTTACTCATAAATAATGAAGTCTTTTTCTCAGGCACCTCAGAAGTATACAAAAGAATTTTTGTTTGCACAGATCTCTTGGAATGTGTTTAACCTGGTATTTCAACAGACTTAAGATTTCCAGGGTTTCACAGGGCCAGATTTTATTAGAATCCTCAGAAGAGAAATTATCTTCTGTAAGAGGTGAACTCAATCATTAACCAATAGAAAAAGTATCCACTGTATTCATCTCTTATAGAAACAGAAAAATATAACATTTCCCCTTAGAATATATATATATTATATATATAATATATATATATGTATGTATATTATGACTTAAAGTTCCATTGTACATAGTCAAACAATAAAATCTGGAAACCAGCATGAAACCCTATTAATTCACATGTTAAAATGCTGAAACTATGACCAAAATGTGAAAATTGCTAGAGCTGTCTAAGACATTAAGACAAAAAGCTTTCTTGCATATGTATAAACTAAAGGTGGTAATCTCAAAAAGGTTTTCAAAATTATAATTATTACCTTCCAGTTTAAAAACTTCAATTCTAAATTAAAAAAAGAATCTATACACAAACCACTGATTTGACCAGACCCAAAAAAAAAAAAAAAAAAAAAAAAAAAGTCAGCGGTAAGCAGGACCCAGAGGAGCTGATATTCACAGTTCTTACACGTACAACTCTCAGGATTTATCCCATAAAGTACTTTATTTTACAACCTGCTTCTCTTGTAAAACTAAAGGTCCACTTTATTACATAAAAGTTTTATACAGTGTAAAACCAGAACTGTATGTAAAATACTGCATCTAAATGTTTCTAAATAGTTAGTCTTGTTCCATTGGTTCATCTGTGGCTTCTGTGGCTTCATAGTCATTTTCCATGGATGATTCTGAGATAATCTCTCCAGTTTTACTAGAATTGGATCCTACTAATTCTTCTGTTTCATGGCAATCAGAAACACTAGTTACAGGGCCTGTATTTTTACTACCTTCAGAATGTAAATCTTTCTCAGCTTGAGTCAGATCAGATTCCTCCATTTGATTATTTTCCTCAGAAGTCTCTTCATTCACAGTTAAGGCATCATCAGATTCTTTTTCTTGATTTTTTCTTTCTGGGATCATTTCTCTTGATGTCATAAAAGACTCTAAAAATAAGCAAATGTTGTTGTAGTTAAATTTTATTTTCAAAATACCTCCATAGTTAAGTTTCATGAATTGACACTCTACAGTTCAAATCATATCCCCTGAAACTCAGCAGCAACTACATACAGGTGGGAGAAAAGCCCAACATCAGCATTATAAGGAGTTCCATTATGTTAAATTCTTTCACGCAAAAATGAAGTATAAGAATTTGAGGATCTCCTTACTCCACCCTTCTACAGATGGTCTCTAAATACCTTCTTCTTCCTCTTCATCCTCTTCTTCATCCTCTTCTGTACAGTGCTGCCTGGTACAACTACTTTCTTTGTCCTTATCCTGAGATGATGCTGTTTCTGTTTCTTCTATCATAACTGAAGAAATTTCACTGGAAGATGTCTGACTGGCCGTCTCTCTGACTTCACTTTCTTTGTCAAACCTGAGTCTTTTTACCTCATGCCCCTCAGCGTCCCCAGCATCTTCATCCAGATGTTTATTTTTCATAGGGCTCACAGAGGAACCGTCTGATTCAGATGTTGGAGAGTCACTGCAAAGTTTCATTAATAAGATTATTTTCTTTATCTTCATTTCTTAAGGTCTAGTAATTATTTAGACTGCATTTCAATGTTAAACCATAACATCTGGGCAAAGAAAAACGTGAAACAGTAATTTTGACAGAACCTAAACTGTTTTGTGAATGTTCCCATTAGGAACAGGTCAACAAATACATGGAATTTTTCTGTTCAATTCTCTATTAAATATTCTTTTTGTAAAACTACCATTATTTCAGAAGGACACACTCTCTTTAGCCTCTCATTCATTTAGTCTTCTTTCTCTTAACATGAAGCAGAAAATGAGATGGGACATAGATAAAAGATTTCCTTTTATTACCAACAATGAGTTTTCAAAGTATTCTTTTCTCTTTTCAAGTAACTTTCAGAAACAAGAAAATGAATCATTACCATTTTACTTTTAAGACCCTATTATAAATAGGATTCCCAACCAAATTAGCACTTTAAGCTTTTTCTACACTCATTTTATAGCATCTGCATTAAAACTCTATCCACTAAAAACACCTTAAAAACAATGTGTACTGAAAACTATCGATAAATGTCATTTTAGGAGAAAACTTTGCTTGAAAATGTCATATACAAACCTGTGATTTTTGTCCTCATTTTGCTGTAAGTTTGACTCTCTGCTATCTGTGCTCTCAGGCAAGCCATTTGTAGTCATGGGGATTGACAAAGAAACCTTTGGTCGATTAAGTGGCCTGGGTGTTCCAGGCCCATTTATATTAGACCTATAGTAAGATAAATGAAACAAGATAGGTGAACACCATTTTTTCAATTTTGTAAATAGTCATCCCTCCCAAGATTTCTTTATATGAACACAAGATTTCTTTATGTGCTATATTTTGCCTTTCAGATCCATATGTCATCAAATTGTTTAGTATATCTCAAATCCTCCACAGAATGCCGAATTTAAAAAAAAAAATAGTGTATTGACTCTGGTGCTCAATAGTAGGACAATGCAAACTCTTTGAATATTAACAATCAATGATCTCACCTCTCAGTGTAACTTGGTGAGTTTCCAGGAAACATAACACCATTCATTCGATTTAAACTATTGGAATTGTTTTTCCTGTAAGAAAATAAAAAGATTTATGGATGGTTTGCTTTTCAGTTTGGTAAGAATCATAGGTTTAAAAGATCTTTTGTAAGATCTCATTATCAGAGAATCAAACAAAGACTTCTACAAAAAATAATTGTGGGATTATCTTAGTTACTGTCTTATTTAACAGTGCAATGAATTCCAAAATGAATTCTCTATTACTGTTTTAATGTTATTAATGTTATTTAATGTAATTATTCACTATTATTGTTTTAATGTTAAGCCTCCTTTTGGCAATGTTTGAAGACATTTTTCAGGAGAGAGGGGAACAATGCTGACAATCCGGTATGTAGAGACCTGGGATGATTGCTAGTCTGCTAAGTGTCCTATAATTCCTAGGACATCCACTCATAACAAAAAGGTAACAGTGCCAAAGACTGTATCCTAAACATTTTTTTTTTAAAGATTTATTAATTTTTTATTCATTTATTTATATAAGCACTAGGTACAGTCAGAAGCACAGGAGGGTGAGAGAATTCACCAGAGCCAGAGCGGGGAGCAAAGCAGGCAGAAGGACCAAAGTACACTGCTGAGGGGAGCAGCGGGCGGCAGGAGAGGTCCGCACACCATGTGGGACCCTCCTCCGGGTGGCCGGGGAGCAGCCAGCGAATGAACCGGTGCTGCAGAGGCTGCAGGCAGCTTCGCAAACCAGCGCTCAACCGCTGCGCCACTGGGGAGGCCCCTAAACTAACATCTTAATTTGCTATATAAATCTTGACAATGGGAAATGCACTTTCCATCATGAAGAGGAATGACATCAAGTGGCTATTACAAACCTAGGCATCATTCCCTAGAGAGCTTCTGGAAAGATATCTAGGGTGGGATCCTAGGGTCTTAAGTGCCATGACAGTACATAAATCTAGCAATGTTCACATTATAGTAAATCACCAATCTCTCAATGTAAATTCCTGTACTGAAAACACATACATGATATTATTGGCAATATTCTACACTTTGGAGACTGGGTGGTAGGTTCAGTTATTATCATGCTTAATTACCCAGAAAAGAAATGCAACCTACTTTAATTAGAATATAACATACTTGGGCCTCCCTCGTGGTGCAAGAGGTTAAGTCTCAGCAGTATCAAGCTGTTGGCAGCCACTGCAGCATGAGTTCAATCCCCAGCCAGGGAGCTAACCCACATGGCACAGCAGACCTCTCCTGTCTTACCCGCTGTTCCCCTCAGGAGTGTATTTCAGTTAGTCCGTCTGTTCTGCTCCCTACTCTCTCTCTGGTCAATGTGCTCACCCCCAAAACCTCTGGCCTGCACCTCAGCTCTTGTATGCATAAATAAATAAATCTTGGGGAAAAAAAAAACAATGTAAGATACTAGAAAACAAAAACTATACTTACTCTGAGGAAGGATGAACACAGCTAACAACCATCACATTCTGCAACAACAAAAATTTATGATTTAACATAAGTACCATAACAAAGTTTAATTATTTTTAAAAATTTCTCAAAAATAACCATTTGGTTAATTTATTTCCAATTTTACTAAAATAAATGGTCAAAAACAAAAACTTCATACAAAAGACCAAAAAATAATGACCTATACTACTGTTTTGCATTTTTATCTATTTTTATGCTATATTTTTATCTATTTTTTATCTTTTTTTAAATCTTTTTTTGCTTATTTTTTAATTTAAATTCTATTCTATTGGAGTCCTGACACTAGATACTATAGTTAATACAGTGGAACTGTGCTTTCTTATTTTAGATAAAAATCACACCAAGAAGTGATATTTAAGGCAAGTGCAATGAATGAACTGCTTTACAAAACAGCATCCAATCCAAATCTTGATGTGTTTTATCATATGTCCCAATGAAAGACATTCTTTAAAAAAAAATCTTCTTGATAACTTTATTAATATCAGTTTATTCATTGAAGAAGTTTATTATGAACCAAAGTAAAGTGCTTTACATTTAGTCCCCTTGTAGTCCTATTGTTATGTACATTTTACAAGTGAGGAAAGTGTGATTTAGATTAAGTAAATGGCCCAAAGACAACAATCACAAAAGAATGCAGCTCCATTTGATTGCACAGCAAGCCCCTGGCATAGCTACTGTCATGTTGCCCCCTTATCCAAAGATCACCAAAATGTAAGTCCCTGAGTGAAAAGTAAGTACTGATCAACCATCCTCAGTTCCCTGTCCTTCGTCCTTCGGGAATCTTCTTAAATCTGAGGGCTTGGACACTCAGCAAAACATAGTAATTCAGTAAGACCCCAAGATCTACTGTAAACCAGAGTAATGTTTTAAATGACGGCTCCGAGGGAAAAATAAGCTGAATTTGAATTAAAATCTTAAAATGAACACTGGACTACAAACACCAACTGAGGGAACTGGAAACCCAGTGGCCCAATCTTGGTTCCTATGGGGCTCCATCTTTCCCTTTTGCACTTATGTTTAATCAATTTTTTACTTTTATTCCCCTAAAACATATGGATGACTTTCTCCTTCACACTGTTTCCTTTGACCAGAAAGTTCTGATTACTAACATCCCTTCACCCACAAAACTCCCCCAAAACCCAAAATTAATGCTCCCTCATTCTTAAATCTGAAATATACCATTCTCTCCTTAACAATGAATATAAATGCTTTTGCCATCAATGATCTTGCAAAGCTATGTGCCTCTTAACACCATTCTGTAGTAAACAAGTTTGCAAAACAGTACTAAAAATACTGTGAATTTTCAAAAGACAAAAGCATAAGCTGCTCTCCCAAACTAATCACAGGTCTTCCTTACTCCCCCTTTCCTTTAATCTGTCTCAAACTTGTAAAACAATTTGGAAAGAACTTCCAGTATGCTAAGAAACCTACTTCAAGATAAAGATCTTAACTCAATGTTCATTTCTGAAATCCATAATGTTACAGTTTAATATAATGCCAATAATAAAATACCTTTTCTACGCCTCTGAGAAATTTGTCTGTTCCTGTATAGTTTCTCCTTGGATCTGTTAGCAATTCACATAGTCGCTGAATTGTAAAAGGGATACTGCAAAAAAATATAATTTTAGTTTGAGGTCATTAATTTTGAAGAGAATTAGGAATATTACTCCTGCTACTTAAAAGTTTTATCTAGTCCTACCCAGGTGTTAAGCTATAAATGAAACTGCGGGGATGAGTCACTTAAAAATACACACAGTAAGAAGCATACCTGTCCTAACCAGAAAACAATTCCCCTCTATCTAAAAAGAACATCCACAATTTACAAGTTTCAAACTGAGAAAAAAACTTTAAAAATCCTGAAAGCTGGTTCAATTTTAAGTTTATAAGAAAGGCAACACAAATAATAATCAAGTTAGATTTTATTTAAATACAGAAACTTTTTTTCAAGTGCTCTTTTGCACACAAATATTTACAGTGTTCAAAAAAAAAGCCACAAATGTCTTGTTATTGAATGGAGTAAGACATGATTCCAATGAAAAATGTACTGTAAAAATGGTTCCACTTCACAATTAGAATTTTATATACAATCTACATGTTTCATCTTAAAATATTCAATATTTGGTTAAGTATCTTATTGCTAACTTTACCAACTACTTCAACCATAATCAAATGTTCATGTTATAGCAAATACAAAACTGACATAATTTTATAAACATAAATTAGTTTTGATCTCATATTATTAGCATTCATTAGAAATTACAGACCGAACAGCAAACATGAGCATTAGATATATGACATTTTCGGCTAATAAGTACAAACGTCAGACTTCATTATTTGCCATACAAATCTACTTATTTTCTTTATAAAAGAATTACAAAGTCTCCAAGTAAGAGTTAACATTCACAAAGTTCTTTACTACTTATAGACAGTTTGACACAATTCTTCCCCCCATGCCACCCCACCCCACCAAGGTAGCTAGTGAATAATAACAAAGTGCCAGGACTCAAACCCAAAGTTTCTCTAACTTCAAATTTCACATCCTTTCTACTATACCACACATAATCATAAATGTTTACCTTCTAATTTGGAGAAATTACACTCAGTTCTCATATTCTCATCATCAATACTATTCGTATAAAAACTGTAACACTTAAGGCAAGTTTTAGAAAAGCATAAATGTTATTCATATGAAAACAAACATTTTAGTTATTTGAGAGGTAAAGAATCAATCTTATTTCAATTAGTGACAAAACTCAATAGTCAGACAAATACCCTACTAAAAGACTGGGCACAATTACATCAGAAATAATTCAGAAGCACCTAGAAATACATATATGTTCTTTGACTTCGTCATGACTGCTACAAGAACCTTCAGGTTGCTGAAAAATACTCTTCCTTGCTTTTGAAAATTTTTTCAAGTGACATACACTGTCAAAACTTTAAAATGGAAGAGAAGCACAAAGCAACATTACTAACAATATGACAGTAACCATACACATCTGTTTTGTTCATTTCTATATAAACATCACATAATTGAAAACTTGTAGCTAATACACAAACCACCACCATCAAAAATACTTAAAGCAGCTCCTCAAATTTTATATAGATAATAACATCAATTTACAAATTTAGTTTCCTTGTTAACATTTGACTGAAAAAATTCAAAAGGGCAGTATCTCTTCACATATTATTAATGCTCAACATATGAATCTTTATATACATATGTATCTGAAGTCAATACTACCATGGATTTCAGAGTAATACTGGTAGAACTGCACCTAGTCCCTATTTTAGGTCATTACTCTTAAACCTTAAACACAGGCAGCTCTCTTGCCCATCTGTGACTATGCAGGTGTTTCACAAACCTGTCCCTTTCAGGGGCAGTTTTTTCTGCCCGCTTCTATCTGTGCAAGTGCCCTTTTATTCCTTTCCTTTTAAAAATAATAAACTTGCCTTTTGGATATTTTTTAAAAAACACAAATCTTTCACACACATACATACCACCCGCCCCATTAATGATATCATCATGATACTGTAACGGAAAGTTATAGACATTAAAAACAAAACAGCACCAAGTGCTAAGAATATTCAAACAGTATCTAATTGACAAATATTTAAAGAAATAGTCCAGTTATGTCTTTCACTCTGATTTTCTTTCACACACTTATAAGTATTTTCTCACAAAATTAGCTTTAAAATGTATTTTTAAACTTGCTATTTAACAATGTTTACACTAAATGCTTTGACTTATTTTCGTTAGGAAGGTAAGTAAAACAAGAGCCAGTTATTAACATTGTATGTTGGTGAAATTAATACTGCTTTGGGTGGGGGGGATGAATTATGTCTGATAGTAATGACAGCCTGTGAAAAACTGAGTCTGCATTCTTACACACTTTCAGAAGTCAGTTCACCAAGTGTTCAATATATACCACTAAAATGTCTTAGAACATTCCACCCTCCACCTTACCTGAGAAGGCTAAAACTACAAACTACTTGTAAATAATTTTGACAATTGCCCTGAAAGGTCTCTCTTTATATGCAGTTTGTGTATTTTTAAAACTGTTTAAACAGAAGAGCCTATTATGGCTAGAGATGCTTGCTCAACTGTGGGACAGCCATGTAAATAATTACAATCACAATAGTTAAAGGCTAATAAAATCTGTACACACAGTACTATTAACATAGAATAAACTATATGCCAGGAAAGAAAGCATAAACGTTAGAACACTTAGAGGTAGGTTTTCAAAAAGAGGTGTAAGAACCAACCAGAAAAACAAATCAAAAATAAATGTACAGAACAGTACAGATACAGAGAGGTTAGCTTTGTAACTCTTCATAGCACACAAAGTAGCTTATTCTAACTCCTGAAATACTAAAAAGCAGCACACACACATTAAGTAAAGGACACGAAAGTAACAAGTCTTTTGAAATGGCATTACTCAGGAAGACTACAGAAAAATGTTAACCAGTCTACTCTTAATGTACAAGTTATAGAATAGCTAAAAAACATTACTGGCTAGTCCACTAGGAAACCTTGTCCAAGATGACTTTACCTCTCTTTATGTCCTCATGTCCAAGTGAAAGTGCACTACTCATATAACTATCTTGAGAACTAAATGACAATCCCTTAACAATGGTGTTCATCATCTTGATCCTATCTAAGAGTGTGGGAGCTCAGCCCCACCAAAGATTGACTACAGAGGAACTTTAAAAATATTCCTTTGAATTCCAAGAAGAGTCAACCAAGTCTGATTAAACAGGATCACACATTTGACTTTAGTTTTATATTTTGTCTGCAATCTGTCCCCATTTACTGATTAAAAAACCCGAAATCTTATTTGCCTAAAATTATGGTAATTCAAATTCAAGAAAACTGAACATCAGAATAAAGACAGATATTGATACATACAAATGAACAATTCAGGCTATTTTTTTAAAGATGGAAATTTTAAACAAATTCTTTATTTTACATTTTAACTTGAGATTAGTTTTACTAAGATTTGTCTTGATCTGTTTAAAGATCTGATCATTAAGCTGTATTACATTCTTAATATATACCAAGATACTTTTTCAAAGAAATTCAGAAAAAAATGGCATATTTCAATCAAAGTTAGAAAATAAAATAACTACGTGCTACATAAGCAAGCTTTTCTGATGAAAAGCGAAAGAAATGGGAAACATAGCATATAGACCATTAAAGTAAAAAGCTAGAGATAACCAGAAAATAAGATATCCTATGAAAAAAAACTTCAGTGGTCAGTTTTGCACTTCTGTTTTATGCATAAAGGTGTGCTTTTCAAATCTTTTAAAATTTCTATTATTGGTACCATTTACACTGTGCATTAATTATAAGATTTACTGCATCTGATTTAACTACTTAGGTGGGATCTAACTAAAACACCTTTCAGTTGTCAAAGGCTAAATGGGCTCAGTTTTGTTTACTCTTACGTGTACTGGAATCCAATGAGAAAATCTTTACTTAAAGCAATATATGCTTTCTGTACACAGCCTTCAACTTCTCCATATATTTGTAAGTATTCAGATGCACATATTAATCCCACAAACCAAATGCCAAAAATTCTGAGTTTTAATGAAAATGTCATTGTGATATGACAACTATAAAAATTTAACATGAAGAATTAGCCTATTCCATTAATGGTAGTAACCCTAAACGTAAGGTTAATGCCATTTCCCACTCTTTGCTCTTAATCAAACTGATCATTTTTTAGAATGACTACAGTAGAGTCTTCAGTGCTATTTTAATTGTATCAAATAAACGTCAAGAAAAAAATTAGATTTCTGCCAGTTCCTATTTCTTCAATTTCAAAAATTGATTAAAGAAGGTATCACATTAAACCATATACCACCAAACAGGGAGTAGTGTAAGAAGGGAAGGCTACTAATTAATAATTTGATATTTAACCAGCTATATTAAAAAGTTAACACATTTTAAGTGATATATTTAATATGCTTAATATAGACAAAAATAATAGAAAAATACAAAAGTAAATATTTTTCCCCAAGGAGAAAATACAGCAAACAGTAAAAGAGGTCAAAGGGGTAAGAGCACAAAATTTAAAAAAGGGCTAGAATTCCAGGGTCTCCCTGTATAATATTAGACCTAACTCTGAGGCAAACAATACAAAACCAAAAAAGGAGTTCTTTTAAAGTTACAGTTTAGATTTAAGTATAAAAATCTCATATATGATCTTCAAAAAAAAAAAAAAAAGTATGAAGTGGCACACACAAGTATAGAAACATACAAGATATGTTGTATTCATGCACCAACACATATAAAACAATCGTGAAAGTTTTCATGACAAGCACAATCTGGTTAATTATGTACATTAAAGTAACTTTAGCAAAGAAATTCAAGTCAGAAAGACGATCATGCCAAAGAAAACACTGCAGTTTTAGGTGTCAAGTGGTTGTGTGTACTTTTTCCAAATACCCTCATAAATACATAGCCATGCTATCTTAAGTCAACTATGCACAATAAATGAAGCCTACAGCTTATTTTTAAACAGCGTTGTTAAAGGATGGGCAGGACTTCATCAATTCCTTTTACATTCATTATTCTTCCATTCTCAGTAACTAAGAGGACATAAATTGATCTTTTAAAAACTAAGAATGCAAGTTACATTCTCTCTTGCCCCTCAAAATCCCTCTTGGTATACAATTACAGGAATGAACTATTAACAGTTTCTAAATTACATTCATGGGGTCTATGTTACGAAGAAGATCTTCATAAATGGCCCCAGTTCTAGTAAGCCCATAACCCCTTGCAGAGGCAACAGATACCATTTCATTAAACTTTCTAGTTTCATTAATTTTATTTTTTGGTGTTTCTCACCTAAGAAACTGTAACTTCACTTCTGGAGAGTAGCTATAATCCATCTTCTCCTATAAAATTTTAAAGTTCAAAAGTAATTTTAAAAGGACAAGAAAATAGAACTAAAAAAAGAAAAAAAACCCCCAAACTTAAGCATTTATCTATCATTAAGATACAAAGAAATGTTTTCATTCCCTTTGTTTAATCATTCAATACATTTTTGAGAACCTATAATGTTCAGACATTCACTGTTCTAATTTTATATGGAAAAGGCAGTTTACTTCTGCTCTCTAGAATCTTAGAATTCTGGAAATCAAGCAAACAAGTAAAAGGACAATTGCCACATCAAGGAGGGAAAATTTATATGCAAAAAATATACTGAAATATTTTTTAAAAATAATCTTTTTAATGGCAAAATACTATGAAGCACTTTAAGTTTTTACTAACTAAAAGCAAGAATTAAACAAGGAACTTACCAACAGGAAAATCAAAAGACCATGAAATTGTAATTCATGAAAGAGCCAATAAGGATATAAAAAGTATTCAATTTCACTTGCAATCAAAGAAACACAAACCAACACACACAAATACTGAAGAGATACACTATTTGCACTTTCATACACAAGGAAGCACAAAAGAACATATTTTGTGAGGTCAAGTTTGTACTATCTGTAAAATTTTAAGTGTACATTCACTGTGACCTAGCAATTCCACTTGTAAATTAAAAGATTTTATGCATATATTCAGCACATGACAAGTCAGTCATCAACACAGGAAGGTATGTTCTAGGATACTCACTACAAACTCTATTTGTACCAATCAAAAATTAAACACCCTCCACCAACAGGAATGGGACAAATTATAACATGCTCATGTACCAAAAAATAATGCAGCCATTTCAAATAAATAGACAAACAAAAGACATGGCTTTAACTATACTGATACAGAAAAGATTCAAAGTTCTTTTAAAAGGATAATACACGTAGATATATCATGGTCCTATTTTGATTCTTTACATTCTTTTCTGATATTCTGCCATCTTTTAAAACCATTAACGTGTTGCTTTTGTAATTTAAAAGATTATCTACAGCACAAACAGAATATATAGGAATATACTAGAAAAGATAAGCCCTCAAGCTGGTTGAAAATGAACAAAGGCTATTTCTACCAACCATGTCAAAAATTTTAAAGCAACTAATTTTCATATATTGGAGACATGAAAATAAAATTGAAAAAGATTGACACATTTAATGTGTCTATATATTTATATAATAAAAAAGGGTAAATTTAAAAATGAAAAACATTAATGTATCACTGGTTAAGACTTGGTTTCTACCAGATCAGGGAAAATGATTCAAAATTGCCTTTCTGAAAAATCAAATTTAAAACTAAGTTCAGCAGACTTAAGGTTCAAAGATGAAAAATGGTTTATTTATTTATTTATTTATTTATTTATTTATTTATTTATTGTGGGACCCTCGCCGGTGGCCCAGGGATCGAACTGGCGCTGCAGAGGCTGTGGGCAGCCTCGCAACGCAGCGCTCAAAACGCTGCACCACCAGGGGAGGCCCGATGAAAAATGTTTTTAAGGCAATTATGTTTAATCACATGTAGGCATTTAATGACTATTCAAGTAATTTTATGAAATAGGTCAATTATGTTTACAAATTTAAAAATTACAAACATTTAGGGTTAACGCACCAACTTATAGATCTGTTTATAATTCAATTTAATTTGAAAGAATTAAAAATGACATTTCAGAATCACAAGTAAATTAGGTTACAGTCACGGTGGTATAATAATGACCTAGTTCTCTTTAACTCTTATTTTTAAGTTAGCCATAATTTATTGAAATAAGTCACTATACAGTCTAAGTATAATCTTTCTGTCTTTGTACTATTTATAAATGTTCTCCAATTCTTATCTTAAACATTTGGTTCAATAAAAAATTTTATGCAATATACTTTTAATACACAGTATGTGTCATCTCCTGGGTATGTACTTTAAGAAAAATTAACTAGTATTGATAAGAAATATGTGAGTACAGTTAAACAATTTTCAAGAAGGTAGAGAGTGAAAATAAATTCCTTTCCCATCTCAAACCTCCATGGGCAACCATATTAACTGAGGGACCACAAATATAAAGCTATAAATTCTACCCCCCAAAAAGTATTTTAGTAACAGTAAATTGAAACAGACCAAAGCAGGAAAACTCTTCTAAAAACAGGGGAATTTGACATTGCAAATTTCATCTGTTTAAGTATCCAAAGAAAGAATGAGATCACATTTATGCTTCATAAACACCCACAACTGAAACCCTTTCAAATAAAATCTACCCTTAATACGAATTCTTGTCAAGATAACCACTGTAAAATTTGGTATTATCACCCCATATTCCAAACTGTTGGCGCCAAACTAAATACTGAAAAATTCAACTTCACAAATATTTCTTTCCTTCAATAAAGAAAACACTAAAAAAAACATAAAGCCCTAAAAAGAAAATATATAAAATGATACAGAATATGAGACACAATAACATTTAAAAAAAATCAGTTTTATTTTAGTGCAGAGGATCTTTTTGGTGCAATAAGTAAAAGTGGCTTACTTAGTGGGAGCAGAAGGGAGACTCAGAAAACTTTTTAATGAACAGTAAGTAGAGTATCTTCATAAATTAGTATTTTCCATTTTAAAAGAAATGTGACTTAATGACCATACAGGTTCTGAGCAATTTATAGATTTATAACACAAAATACAAAAAAGGGAAATAAAAACCATAAAATATTTCCTGATAAATGAATGTTACCACAGTCATATCCATTTAAAGTCCAAATGCCAGTGATAGCCATGAAAAGGTAGTTCAAGTTAAAACAAAACAAAACTGTAAATATTTTAAATACCTGTAAGATGAAAATCAGTAACTACTATATATGCCACTAGAGACATAAAACTTATTCTAATGGATAATCAGTTATTAAACAATCAGATACATCAAAAGCTGAAAGAAAAATCCATAATGCTGTTAAAAATTAAACCTTTAAAATAATATTAAGTGCATACCCATTAAATCCAGTGACAATTTTCAGTATTCTTTCCTTCATTTCATCAAAGGGAATATATTCGACATTAGGGTTGGGAGGACCTCTTGGTTCAGGAGCTGAAGTTCTGAAATCATCCATCACTTTCTCCAGTTTGAAAATAAAATAGCCTTTAAATTGGGACCACTGAATCCTATAAGCAAAAAGTAAAAAAAAAATTAATGCCTTGTACCTTTACAATTCTTGAACATAGAGCAAAAATATTCAATTCACCAAACTATACACTAATGCTAATGAAATTAAGGTCGGACTAAGTAGTAGTGAGAATGCTGTCTTTATATTCAGTAGCATGCACTGTGCCACACCAGCTCCCAACTCCTGACACAACCAAATCCAAATATGATTAAAAAAAAAAAAAAAACCTTTAAAATGAACTACCTCTGGATGAGTCTCTTGTGTACATAGTGACATTCTTTGCATTTTAAAAACATTATTTAGTCTTGACTCTATCCCACCTAATAATAAACCTAACCAGGGAGAAGTTACTGCCCCATTTTAAATAGGTTATAGAAATTAGCCCAAGATCACATTTCTAGTTTTAAATGGACAAGTCAGGATAACTCCATATGCAAAACTATTAACATCCAAGTTGGTAACGTTTATATATAAACAATTAAGTTTCTTGTCTTGGATCTGTTAAACAGCAAAATAAATTCAGTTTTTTCTTTTGCCTTCACTTTCAGCTAGCATGTTCAGGCTACTTTAACATTAAAAGCTATAGATCAAAGAAAAATAGAAAAAAACATTTAAATGACAAAACTAAAAAGGTTCTACAGTATATAAACATGATTTCCTTATGTACTGACCTTAATAAAATGGTATAGATGTCTTTTTTACACCTGTCCACTAATACAGGGAAATTTTGTGATACCAGCCTGAACCTAAATTCCAGGAGATGCAGGAATTAGAAATGCCAACCATTTCCCCAACAAGCCACCTCCACCACCAGGGGGAATACAGACAATCCCTTACACAGATGGCTAAACAAAACAAGGAAAGTGTTAATCTATAATTATGTTTCCTTCCCATCTAGTAACCATAGATAAATTAGGACAGCAGACCTCAAAGCTATTTTCTTATCAGGGTTGACTTTTTCCACCATGTTAACATTTACATGGATGCCACAAAAGCAGAAGTGGGTAAAACTTATGAGACTTTAGCGTGAATCAAGGCAGTAATATAACTGCACTAGTAGTGCTCATTACCTCCTCACCACCACAAACTCTTGGGGTGTGGGGGAGAGCAGTGAGAAAACCACCACTTGTTTCACTTAAAGTTTAATAAAGCAAAACAAATTATTAATTGTACTACATTCCAATCTTTGAACACACATCTTTTAAAAAACATTCTGTGTAACAAAATGAGAAGTATACATATAAAGGACTTCTGATGTTTGTAAAAATACTACAGGTGTCTCAAGAAACAACTGAGTATTGTTGTCAGCTGACCTAGTAAAACCCTCAAGAGAAACAACCGAATTATTTGTGGCCAATGCCAAAATGTTTGAAATTCAAAGCAAAAAACTAAGTCTTGAAAATGCTCCTCACTGTGAGTTTGGAAGGAACCTGATGCATTACCAAGACATTTCAAAAGCAGTCAGTACTGATATAAAACCTACTGTGTAATACCAACAGTGCAGGCAATAACGAAATCCATAAACAGAAAACTATCAAAATAAGAAATTTTTGTATATCATTCACACTAGCAGTAAGAGTAGAAAGACAAATAGAATGGGAGAAAATATATGTAATTCATGTATTTGATAAGGTGTTAACATCCATGATATATAAAGAACCCCAACTCAACAACAAAAAACCTAAAATAGCCTGATTAAAAAATAGGCAGACTATTTGAATCAACATGTACCCAAAGATATACAAATGGTTAACAGACATGGAACTCTAAATTAAAACCGCAATGATGTAGAACTCCATATCCATTAGATTTGCATTTATCAAAAAAAAAAAAAAAGCAAAAACAAATATTGGCTGGCAAGGATGTACAGAAACTAGAATCTTTGCATTGTGGTAGGGATGTAAAATAATTCAGCCACCCTACACTGTGGGAAACAGTAGGGTGGTTTCTCAAAAAAAAAAAAAAAAAAAAAAATTACCTTATGATCCAACAATTCCACTTCTAGGTAGACAACCAAAATATTTGAAAGCAGGGACCCAGTAAGATAATTGTACACCAATGTGCACAGCAGTATTATTCACAATAGTCAAGATGTGTAAGCAACTCCAGACGTTCACCAACAGATGAGTGGATAACCAAATGCAGTATATATATGTAAAATGGGTCATATCTGACCCTATAAAATAACATTCTGACACATGCTACAAAGTCTTGATCATGTGAAATAAGCCAGATACAAAAGAACAAATAGTCTAGGATTCTGCTTATGGAATGAGGTATCTAATCTAGTCAAATTCAAGGAGACAGCAGAAGGACATCTGTCAAAGGCAGGGCATAGGGAAGGTTGTTTAACAGGTAGAGTTTCTGTTTGGAAAAATGAAGGTTTTTAGATTTATTTTTTATTTATACAATAGCTGGGGTACAAGCCAGAGGTGCGGGAGGGTGAGAGGATTCACCAGAGACAGAGTGGGGAGCAGAAAAGGCAGACAGACCAAAGGCACTGCTGAGGGGAGCAGCGGGCGATACAGGAGAGGTCTGCTGTGCCATGTGGGAATCTGTGCTGTAGAGGCTGAGGACAGCTTCCCAGCAATGAGCTCAACCAGTTGTGCCACTGGGGAGGCCCAAGATGAAGGTTTTTAGATGAATGGTGGTGATGCTGGCTCAGGATTGTAAATGCACTTGATGCTACTTAACTATAAAAGGTTACATTATGTATATTTTACTCCACTGAAAAAAATCTTGAAAAATGTGTAAAAGATTCAAATAGGCATTTTTTTTATTTTTAAAGATTTTATTTATTTACACAAGCACCAGGTACAGTCAGAAGCGCGGGAGGGTGAGAGAATTCACCAGAGCCAAAGCAAGGAGCAGAACAGGCAGAAGGACTGAAGTACACTGCTGAGGGGAGCAGCGGGCACAGCAGGAGAGGTCTGAGTGTCATGTGGGACCCTCGAGGCTGTGGGCAGCTTCACAACCCAGCGCTCAACTACTGAGCCAATGGGGAGGCCCTGAAATAGGTATTTTTATGAAGACAGACAAATGGGCAATAAACACAAGAATAGATACTTAGTATCCATTAAGGAAATGCAAAATCAAACCAAAATGAGATACCAGTTCCCATCCACTGGGACTGCTATAATCAAAAGGTTAACTAAGTGTTGGGGAAGATGTAAAAGGAAACTGGTAATCTATAAACTGCTGGTGTATATACCAAATGGTGCAGGCACAATAGAAACTGCTTTGGCAGATTGTTAAAACGTTAAACCCAAAAGTGACACGTGAACTGACAATGCCATTCTATTAAATTAGTAAATTAGTTGGTATCAAATATTACTATTCTTTTTAAATTTGGTAAGGGTGATCATTAAAGATTAAGTAATTACTTTATCCCTCTACCGCTAATCTATCTATGGAAGAGGAACTGTAGGTTTAAGAAGTAAAGGGAGAATATTATAATTTCTGACATGGCTAATATTAATTTCTGAATATATAATGGTCACTGAATGCTAAACTTTATCCTTAAATTTCACCAGACTTCCCACAAGCATTTAGTTAAAACTTAAAACACAACAGAGGTTTACCACAGGAGTCTTCCGGAAAGAGTAACATCACAAAGATAGTAACATAGTGCATTCCTTGCATTGTTTTCCCTCACAAGAGAGATAACTAACACAAGTATTCTGTAACAGAACATCAGTGAGAGAATTTTACAGCAAGGAGGTGAGAAGGAAGTATAACCAGCATCTCACCATATTTGTGTTTCAGAAAGTTATTAAAGTCTAAGCACTTTTAAGCTATTGCCAGCCACTGTGGCCTGAGTTCAACACCCAGCCAGGGAGTTAACCCATATGGCACAGCAGACTCTCCTGTCAGTAGATCTGCCTGTTCTGCTCCCCACTCTGTCTCTGGTGAATCCTCTCACCTCCCGAACCACTGGCCTACACCCCAGTTCTTGTATGCATAAATAAATAAAAATCTTAAAAAAAAAAAAAAGATCACAGACATGAACAAGGCATCCCCCAGTACATCTGTGACAGCAGCTGGCCCCCTCCATGCCTCTGTACCTCCCTGACAAAACACTAGCTAATCCACCATTCCCCAGGTGCCTGCAGCACCTATAGAAATGTGTAGTAACCAAAAAAATAAATAAAAAAGAACCATACCATCACTTGCTGGGAAAAGAAAAAGCGGGTACTAAGTTGGTAATCTAGGTCAAAAAGAAAAAGTAAAGGTGGTAGACAAGTCAAATATGCAGAAGAATATACCAACACAGACAACCCAAGACTTCAAAGTAATAAGAGATCATGAGGGAGAACATCACTTCAGAAACCAGATTTAAAGACATGGATTGCATGTGGTGACAACATAGTAGTAGCAGCCATAAGGACCTCATGATACCAAACGTGAAAGCAATAGTGTTACCGATTAGGGAAAAAAGGAAAGGCATTTCAGTAAGCAGGTGAGCCTGATTAAAAACAAGCAAAAACAGATGGTAGACATGCCAAATGTGAAGACATAGGAATATACCTCCAACAAAAGCAAAACTTCAGGATACAACAAAAGAGAATGGTCTGCTGCAGAAACCAAACTTAAAGACCAGTGCCTCTCTGGTGGCACAGAACTCTCATGCTATTAAGATGTCCCAGCAACTGAGGCATGAGATCAATCTCCAGCAAGGAAGCTAACCCACATGGCGTAGCAGACCTCTCCTGTCTCACCCGCTGCTCCCCTCAGCAGTTTATTTTGGTTGATCTGCCTGTTCTGCTCCCCACTCTGTCTGTGATGAATCCTCTTGCGCCCTCCCCCACCCTGGCCTACACCCCAGTTCTTGTATGCATAAATAAATAAATAAGTCTGTAGTAAGATACTTTCGACTTAAAAAAAAAAAAAAAAAGACCTGAAAGAATGAAATCTGACAACTCAAAATAGCTATCATGAAGAAATTCAAATACAAGAAAACCCAGAAAAGCAATTTAATGAGATCAGAGGAAAAAAAAA